AGAAAATAAACATAATATGGTAACTTTTGGTGGAGGATTACGAATTTGTCCTGGAAGAAAGGTGGTAATAAATCAACTACTTTTATTAATGGTATTAATATATAAAAACTATAATGTTGAGTTGGTGAATATGCATGAACCATTAAATACTTCCAATAGCTATAAAGAATTAAAAGTTAAAATTAGCCCCCGGATATGATTTATATTAAATACTTTTAATGCAACTTTTAAAAGTTTGAAAGAGTTAGGTTAGAATAAATCCACGTTCTAAAAATTTATTTTAGCTTTAAATTTGTAATAACATTGTGTATATACGTGTACTTAAATAAATTTTCATAACTTTTATAGTATATTCTATTTATTAATAAAAATAAAAGAGATAGCGAATTAAAAGTATTTTATTTTAGATAATCTTTATTGCTTGATTTGAGGAAAAAAACAAGTTTTCAAAAATCAACATTAACTCAAAATTTGACTTATGAACCCAACTTTTGCTTTCAACAATAAAAAAATTCCATGCAAAAATTTTAGTATATTCACTTATCCGTTATTTAATATTAAAGATGAATTAGTCGCTTTATTTAAATTTACCTGATCTTACAAACTTGGGTTTCTATCCACGACTATGCTATTTTATAAAGCAGTCACACAATACACAGCAAAAGTTGATGTATTCTAGTCCTACGAATGTGCACAATCATTATACATACATAAATATAAAAATAGATCGGTTGAAAAATACCAACGGATCCTGATGGGATCTTTATTACAAAGCATTTTTTTTCCTCCTACTGCTACAGTATAACACTCTTCAACATTAGGCAAACAATGAATACCTGTTACTACGGGACATCTACTTAAATATCAAGGTTGAGAAGTTTTAATTTTTCCTTATTGCTATTATTTTTCACATTTTGTAGAGATTCTAAGCTCGATTTTTGAATGCAATCATTCATGATTCATGACAATTTCATATTTTTTATAAGTAGTTTTCCAATTACGTCTGAAGTAGTATTATCAATCATATTGCCATAAAGCGACAAGCATGCTAAAGATGTATTCACATAAAGAGCCTTAGCTAAATTTTTTCCTACTTCAGAGCTAAGTAGATTATTGTCAAGATATAGAGATTTTAAAGTGTTATTTTTATAAAGAGCTTCTGCAAATGCATTTCCACCTTCAGAGCTAAGCTGATTATTAAAAAGATTTAATGAGATTAGAGTAGTATTTTTACAAAGTGCATTTGCTAATTCTTTTCCTACTTCAGAATCAAGTCGATTTGTCCCAAGGCCTAATGAAGTTAAAGTAGTATTTCTATAAAGTGCAGTTGCAAATGCCTTTCCTACTTCAGAATCAAATTGATTACAGCAAAGATTTAACGAAGCTAAAGTATTATTTATACAAAGTGCATTTGCTAATGCTTTTCCCGCTTCTGAATGAAGTTGATTAATCCTAAGATCTAATGAGATTAAAGTAATATTTCTACAAAGAGCATTTGCTAATGCTTTTCCTGCTTCTGAACCAAGTTGATTACTACGAAGATTTAACGAGATTAAAGTAGTATTTTTACAAAGTGCATCTGCTAATGCTTTTCCTGCTTCTGAACCTAGTTGGTTGCTACGAAGATTTAATGATGTTAAGGTAGTATTTTTACAAAGTGCATCTGCAAATTCTTTTCCTGTTTCTGAACCAAGTTGATTACTACCAAGATCCAATGAGGTTAAAATAGTATTTCTACAAAGAGCATTTGCTAATGCTTTTCCTGCTTCTGGACCAAGCCGATTGTTACTAAGATTCAATGAGGATAGAGTAACATTTTTACAAAGAACATCCGCGAATGCCTTTCCTGCCTCAGAGTCAAGTTTATTACCCCAAAGATCTAGTGAGGTTAAAGTAGTATTTTTGCAAAGTGCATTTGCAAATATTTTTCCTCCTTCAGAAAAAGGTCGGACATAATTAAAAGTTAAAGAGGTTAAAGTAGTATTTTTATGAAGAGCCTTTGCAAATGCTTGAGCTTCTTCTAAATGAAATGGCTTATTTAATAAATTAATATTTGAAATAAATAAATCTACATCCGAAATTCTTAAGTATTTAAGTTTTTCACTTGTTCGTAAAAACATCAAAATTAAAGAATATCTGATAGTATAAGCAGCGTTTAACCACAAATTATTAGTTGAATTATAACCAAGATATTTTTTAATTCCATTAAATGAATGAATGTCAATAGCTATAGTATGGGTTAGGTATTCAAATAATGGTTTCGGAACATTTGGTAAGTATAATTTAAATGGTATTAATAGTGCTTGTTCTTCTAAGTTTAAAGTTAGGAGACACATCCTAATAAGTTTTTCATTTCTAGAAAGATCTATTTTACTCCATAATATTGGCACAATATTTTTACACCATTGACGGTTTACTAATAGACAGGAAAATAAACTCTTATAATCGTTCTTAAGACAATTAAATATTTCGAAATGACATTCATTTGGTAGTTTGGACATTTTTAATTTTTGCTATATATTATAATGTTTTTCGGAGTGACAAAATTTAAAAACTTTAAGAATTGAATTTTTTTTTTTTTTATATAAATAAATAAAGCATTTCATAGTTGTACAAACGCTGTCATATTTCACAATGTGTTCCACTATTTGTGGTGACGATCTTTATAATTTTTCAATTCTATCGCTATTACTAACTAAAATTATTATTTTACGATTACTACGTAGGTCAAAGTTGTAATCAATAATAAAGTTACAAAAGTTATTTTTTTATTACTATTTTTGTAGGGATGTTATGACTCGAATTGGCTCAAGTAATAGCTTTTATAGCCAAGTTACGTATTGTTAGAGGTAAATCGTAACATAGCTGTAAGCATGTGATAACGTGACATTACCCGAACCAAGTCATAACCCGGACCAAGCTAAGCCGCAAGCCCGAGACCTCCAATCGGCATGTGATAGCAGCATTAATCAAATGCTATCTTGGGTTTGGCTCGAGGCGAAGTTCTATTGAAAAATCTTATGATGCCTCTGGGATTTAAATGGTGGAAATTTAGTCATTGTAACTTGCAGATTCTCCCCCGATACTCAATTTAGTCATATTGAGTAAAGCCCCAAATGTATTTATCTTGTATAAAAGTCTTGTCGTTCACTTTGAATAAAGTCAGTTGTCATGTTAATAAAGAAACTCACCTATACCAGGATCCGAGTGTATGATCCTACTACCTAACCAAATTCGATGAATAATTTTTTTTTATTTGAATTATACAGATCTTTAAAATTAAAATAAAAAATTTTTTATCGAATTTGATTGAATAAGTGCTTTGATATCTTCATTAAAAGTTGCAAAAAATTGCAATTTCACAAGGGGGTATGGTTAATTCCATTATTACTAAACAATTTAGTAATACGTATACTGTAGGTATAATAGCTAGTCTTATTATTAATTGAGGCAGAGATGATTATAATTTCTTATCACCATTTTAAAATTAATGCGAACTTAAACTCCTTTTACTATATTGCACCTCGCATATCTAATCTAATTATTAATTCTGTAGTATTAAAAGAAAAAGTAACAATGAATTTTCTAATTATAACTGATTTGTCGTTAACAGTAACAATTAGATTAAATATTAAAATCAATACCATTTATCATGTATAATTGACTCATCTTGTATGGAATAAGATACAAAATCAAAGAATATTGAGTTTATTGAAAATTCAAATATTGTAAATCAAACGCAATTACAAACCAAATCTTCTAAATCACAGCGTAAATTCAACAAGATAATTTCTTGTTACCTGTTATTATTTCAAAATAATGTTAATTTTAGAGATAAAATGTATAAAAAATTATACAAACAATATTATTTTATTTATACATTTAGGAAATGTATATATTTATGAATTTCGTTCACATAATATAATATTAAAAGATTTTTTTGTTCACATATCCAGTATGAAATTTAATGTACAGTTTGTTGTTATTTGAACATGCAGTCCAGTTCAGGCTATAGCTGAAGCCAAAGCCGAAAGCCATTTTACTATGATTCAAGCCATGGCTGGAGCCGGCTTCAAATGGAGCTAATAACATCTTTATATTTTTAAAAGGAGTTCGCCAATTTTTGTATTCTTAAATTATTTCGGTGGGGAACCGATCAATTAAACCTCTAAAAAAAGTTTGCGTTGATCAAGTTATGATGAGCCCAAACCTGGTAGTTTTGGCACTTACCATATCTAGTGTTGTAAAATTATTATAAGTTTGGCCAGACCAATTTAATTCGGTGGTTTACGTTACCCACCCTCCCTAAGAATATATTGTACGGAAATTTTTTTTTGAAAATTTACTATGAAAACCCCTGCAAAATCTCCCCCTCTTTCAAAGTGGAGATGTAATAACTTACCATGGTAAGTTACCGTTACTACTAAACAACCCTGGCCATATCCCAAACTGGCAAAACTAGTACTAGTTTGGAACTTTACCGTAAGAAATAATAAAATTACGAAATATATCAGATATTTACGTAATACTTATGATGTAAATTTTAAATGCAATTTTTTTTATATATAACGTAATTATTTGAATTACGGCAAATATCATAACGTTAATGCCGTAAATAGTTTGGATCTCATCTAGTGATGCAGTAAAAGGTAACATCGTCCCAAGATTGCCGTAACTATAGTAAGTAATATATGAAGTTACAGTTTCATCAATAGTTATGATCAAAATACTTTTAATGCATAGCGATGGTTTTTCATAATAATCAACCTTTAAAGTTAAATCAGAACAAAATGTATTCTAAACTTTGGTACTTCGTTATATTCTTTATACTTTTTACAAATACGGTTATTGTTACTAAAGCAAATTCAGTGAAGAAAAAGAATGGATTTATTCAACGAGAACTAGATATAGATAGAAGTAATAAACCAAAAAATATACTATTCTGACGTGATCTTAATAATATGGTGGCTATTCATAATAACATATTTATTAACTGTTAAATGGATCTTGATGATAATCAAGAAGATTTAATTCTAGAAACGTATGAGTCAATGTGAGTATCCGTAAGACTCGAAAAAATTATTGCATGGCTGCCTATTTTATTAATTTAAACCGGAAGTACATGAGTTTTTGAACTCGTGATCAGATCATTTTTTCGTAACATCAATTTTTAATTCGAATGGTAATTTTTGACTTTTTTTATTATATAAATCATAATTATGATATACAGTAGATTATATATTGAACTACGATTGATGTTCTTAAAGAAGATATCATTACAACAATTCAAGATTAAAAATAGTGCCTTAAATCGCCCAAGCATCCATTAAGTCTTGCAGCTGCAATAATTTTACATACCTTAAGAAAGCCGCGTCTCAGTATGGATGTTCATGGAAAGATAAATATGATAATACCCGTGAATATTCATCAAAACAAGTAGGAGATGCTAATGCTAATAACAGCTTTAGTATGTGCTAATGATTATGTAATCGAAAATGTCACAAAGCGAATGAAAGAGAAATACGGTGCAACATTTATAAAGAATAGAAGTTCCTGTTAACATAGTGCCTGCAGTAAAGAAATGTACACAAAATAAGAAACTACAATCACCCGAATTAGAGCCGTGATGGAAACAGCACTTCGTCTCAAATTAAGAAGTTTGCTTGTATTAATTTTAATAGCAGTATTAAAAGTATTTGCAAATTATATTTTTTAAATATTTAATGTTTTAAAAGTATTTATCTGTATTTAAATAAATAGTTACTAGATATTAAATATTAAATTTAAATACTTTATAAGTACTCGTTTAATATACAGTATAAAAAAATTACTCTAATTTAATACTTGTCGCGGATTATAATGAAATCGGATTAAAATGAAATGAGGGTTTCCATTTAACCCTCTAAAACTCACTTATTCTTGTTTATTATAAACTCTACCCTCCAATCCTAACCCTAAGATATGCACTTCAAAGTTTTTATTTTTTGGTAGTTTGTCTATTTTTTATATTGTACAATATTTCATTTTAATCCGCCCTATAAAAAAAAAATCTCTTGGAATTGTTTAGAAAATTCTGAAATTATACGATTTTTTGTTCAGGAAATCGACTCCATTCCGAACATTTTAAAGCATGTTTATTGGATGTTTATGTTTTTCTACGCTTTTTATACGTTTTTATATGTTTTTTGTATGATAATTTTTAATCAAAATTTTTCTATTTTTTACATCCCGTACAAACATCATAATGAACAACGGTACAAACAATAAACATCTTTTAAAATGTTCGGAAAGGAGTCGATTTTCCGAACAAAAAATTGAATATTTCAGGATTTACTGAACAATTCCAAGAGATTTTTTTTATAGAGCCATCACAATACTTGTTAAAATACTATAATAACCAATATTAAATAAGTAATTAATTTTAATGCTTTGCTCAGATCTTAGATTCGGGCTAATTCAGAATCATTACAACCTTTCAATAAAATAAACTACATACAATTTTTTGCACCTAAATGTCAACAAAAGATACTAATATATTAAAAATCAAAAAAAAATATATATTACTAAAAAAAATATAACATTCAGCCTTTTCAGTAATTTCACAAGTAAAAGAGCGAGCTTGTTTACTACGACCCATATAATAACCACCACTGAAGAAATAAAGTATGGCGCTTCCTGTATCTTGAACTATTTATTCAATAGCGAATTTGGATTTGAATTTTATTAATTGATATAATCCATGATACTAATTACTGTTTTGGAACTTTTATGGGTGTGTGAAATGATGGTCATATCATTTTGTTATTTAAAGGGGTACTGCTTCAAGTTACTTCATTATCAGCTAAGATCTGAATTTTCCTCTTACAGATTTCGGAAGAACAGTTCATTATATTCTTTTATATGCAAGACAAAAACTTAGGTTATACTATAATCAAAATAAACACAATAAAATTATACATTATATACTCACTTTTACTTGCATCAGACGTTCTATTGAAATAGGAAGTACGCCAAGGTCAGAGCTATCCCGAGGGAGATAAAATTTCCCCAAAAGAATCATCCTATATATTGCTTCAAATTTTAAATCCATAGTATATACACGACACAGAAAGCCTAGTACAAGAATGTAGAAAATGCAAATAGATTATAGAAATCATTGTTTTAAGAAATTCTAACACAAAAAAAAACTTGCCTTCCACCAGTAAACCACAAATTACTAGATTGCTATCTTCTACCCCATCATCAAAACATTTGTCGATTATATCCTTCATTTCATTTCCTAATTTTACCAAGTCACAATCTTCCAAAGTAATTTTGTTTTTATTTGATGACATATATTCAGCAGATTTTACTTCTGATGTAAGCAGATAAAATTTTTTACCTTTAACAGGTATATATATAGAGAAATCTGCTTTTCGACCCTGTAGCGAAGGGTCGAACTTACGTTTCCTATGTACAGATGCTTCCAGAACATCAGTTGACCTGAAAATAATTCTTTAACTAACATATTCTAAGCATTATAATTATGATATATATTTATATAAAGTCAAAAATTACCATTCGCATTTAAAATTAATGTTACAGAAAAATGGCCTGATTACGGGTTCAAAAACTTCATGTACAAAGGAATCTTCTTTTAAACCTTTCCTATACACTTCTGGTTTAAAATTATTTATTCTATAATAGCACAATATTATGTTAAAATAAGCAGCTATGTAACAATTCTTTTGAGTCTTACAGATACTCACATTGACTCAAATGTTTCTAGGATTAAATCTTCTTGATTATCATCAAGATCCTTTTGCCATTTTCTCAATAGAAGCTTGCATTCTCCAAAATCATTATTTGCAGTCTATTTAACAAATATTTTATTATGAATAGTTACCATGTTAAGATCATGTAATTCGATTAAAACGTTTAGCAGAGATAGTTGGTGATGTTTCTATAGGAGCTGTTCCTAGGATTGTTTGAGGTGAAATTTTGTAGAATTGGGAAGTAAAATTTGTATGATATTTGCCACA